CTGGCAACCAAACAGATGGCTTGGGGAGCTTCTCTTTCCCTGTGATAAATTGTACTCTAGTGGACTAGCCAGGGTAGAGTAGTAGAAGGTGTTGCCAAGGATGCTCCGTAAGTGCTTGACCTGGCTGAGAGGTGAATCTTCAGGAGTGGACCACTTTTGGTCCAGCAGAGCTCTGGTCTGCCAATGCTTTGGATCGCTCAGTTTCAATGTAGGTCTGGCTGGTGGTTTAATGGAACTCAGACAGCTACTGGTTTCCCCCAGTGTCAGAAAATAACCCCCTTTAATCTAATCAAGCAGGAGGCAATTGTACTCCTTGAAGATGGTTTCAGTGGCCTTAATCACATTCCTAGAAGCTTCCCAAACTGTGCCTCCCAAAACTTAGGTGGACTCTTGAGCCAAGAAGATTGTGTAATGCCAATTAAATCCACAATCTGAAAAAGCTTGCATGTTAAAAAAACTTAGGGGTAACAGCCTTATAACTAGAACATGAACACTATGAACAAGATTCATCCTTTCCCCATTCCAAGATATAACTTTTAGAGACCTAAAATACTTCCAGACGGTGTCAGACAGAAAACATTGGGCACCTATTCCATTTTCCCCTCCTTAATCTTTTTATTATAATAAACAGCAGCAAGAAGAGTCGCAGTGGAAGATGTTAGAGTCTGTCCCACAACTCCCTAATACAGTTCCATAAATGAGGAAGGAGGAAGCCTGATAAGGAAGCTCTATAATTTACTAAACTTAATGCAAACTTTTCCCTAGCCCCTTTAGAACTTAAGATGCTTGCTCTTCCTTGTACTTTGAGTTTGGAGATTAGCATCATGGCGGAAGTGGAATCTCAGGCTAAGAGGGAGGATAAACTCTGGGCTTGATACTCAAAGGGACCTGAAAGACTGGATTCACTTGGAATCTCACAGGAGAATTTGAGATATTCCACCCCATCAACCACTCATTGAAAATTCTTATTGTTAGGATCAATTAAAGTTTAAATCTATATACACAAAATCTAAACAAAGAACTGGATGGAGGATCTGATTACTGTCTCCACTTTCACAGGATACTGTCTTACACTGAGTCTGTGCAAACCATCAGGATAGTATATCCCAACAAACTTACACTGGATGATTCAAAATGCTGCTCAAGACCCACAGAGGTGCACCCTGGTGGGTTGCACACTGTATGTGAAAGCTTGAGAGCATGTGCTGTTTAAACTGTGAGTGCAGGTGCAGACTGAGTCTTATGGGCTGCATCCCCACAGTACTGGGGACTGAAGCTGAGACCTTTTGCATGCAAAGCAGGTGCTCTATCATCACATTCTTGACTATTTAGAAACCACCACGAAATAGCAAAAAATCCTGGAACTCTGACAGCACTAATTCTGTTCAACTTTTACACAATAGGAATCATGAACACGACTGGTGCAAGGGTCCTGCCACCCTAGTCGTGGTTGTTACTTGCTATAAAGTCATCGTCAACTTATGGCATTGCTGTGAATGAGTACCCTCTAAAATGTCCTGTTGCTGACAGCTCTTAAAAACTCAAGGCTGTGGCTTAAAGCTTTGATTTACAGAATCGATATGCCTCATAGTTGGTGTTCCTCTTTTCCTTCTGCCTTCAACTTTCTCTAACGTTACTGTTTTCTTCAGCGAGTCTTGCCTTCTCATAATATGTGCAAAGTCTGACAGCCTTAGTCTTTCATGTTTGCTTTTAGAACCCCCTGAGTTAGGAGAGCACAAATGTGCCACCATATGGTGTCACTCCCTATTGCGACCAATGCCACATTGCTTGCTAGCTCCATCTGCTGTCATTCCCTCTGCACCTCCTTTTCCGCCTATCTTCTGGCTTACTCTTAGCATGATCCAGAGCATGGGTGAGCTTTCTGAAGAGCCATACCATTGGAAAAAGTGTCCAGCAAGTAGTTGCCAGGCCCAAAGACTTGTATCTGAGGGAGCCCTTCTTCAGAGCCAGGCACTGAGAGATGGATAACCCATGAGGTTGCTGCTGGATGGAAGATCTTTCTGGAGATGCCACTAGCCCTACTCTGCTGTTGTGGCAAAAACGGCAGTGGGAGAGCACCCAACTCAGCTTTCTAGAGCACCTGATACAGTGCTGCTTTGCTGAGAGGCTGAGGTTAGGGTTAGGTTCATCACTCCTCTCCTGAGGCAGGGGATGCAGGAACAGGGATGTCCTCTGAAGCTTCACTGGGAAAGAAAGATATATCCTTAAAAACAAGAGAGAAAAAGAAGATTCACAAAGACAATATAGCAGTCTTAGGAATGTAGCTGATATTTTAGACAGTTTACCTTAACTATTCAGGAAGAGAGTCCATGTTTTAGAATCCTCTCATTCATCTTGAAAACATTTGTAAATAATTTGGTAGAGAGCATCAGTGGAGTTCGCAGGGAAGCGTTTTTGCCTCAGTTGCTTATAAGGTCTGAAAAGACCCTGTTCTAGACCCCTTCTAATATCATGTACAGGGACTCCTACAAGATTATTAAAGCAGAATACAGGTTGAATGAATGAATGAATGAAAAGAAAGAAAACATTTATTACAACAAAGGAACAACTAATCATGTTCACCTGTATTTCTAGAACAAAATAGGATGGGGGAGGTAGTGCAAATCTTTCATGCAAATCTTGTGTGGACCAGTGAGAACCCTCTGTTGTAAGAGTCACTGGAAGAGTTCACATATAATGAAACCACCATGGTATGGCTTGTTATCACATGTGAACTCAGCAAGAGTGGTGAAGTCCAGTAAGAATGGTCTCTTAGAAACACTGAAAGAAACAATGTTTTGTTGTATGGTTTATATGCTTCACCATGGTTTATTTGCTCAATTGAACCCTGTTTCCATATTTCTGCATGGTTCCCACATTTCTTCCAACAAGTTTCCCATGCCTGCAGCAGTCACTCCAGCTTGCATCCTCTCCTATCCAAGTCTGCCGAGCAACTGCAGCTGTGGTGTGATTTGCCACTTTATCCTCACTTCCTTCTCTGCCCGTGCAGTGTTCCCGATGCCCACCTACAGTTTGGAATCTTGGTGGCAGCGGGACATTGTGTGGCACTGCCTCCAGGAGCAGTGAAGATGGTAATGCTTAGTGCTTCTGCACAGTCACTGCTGTTTACTCAAGTAGTGCTTTGAAATTGCTGTGCCCTTGTTCTGCACTTAGAACCAGCATTCTCTTCTTATGAAAATTGCCCTACACAAGAGGAGAACATAGGCGAAGCATAGGCATCACCAACAGGGCACTTGCTCTGAAAAGCCCAGGTTTCCCACACTCTGCTCCATTCCTATTTTGTCCCTGACATTCCTTGGGGCTGTCAACAGGTCCCACTCTCCCCTCCTGCTCCCCACCATGGCTGCAAGACAAACCTATTTCCAGTGGCCATCTGAGAAACCTTCCCAGGCAGATGTCCACATGCGCTCCCTTGGAAAACTCTTCCCAGCATGACATACTGCCTCTGACCCTGACATAGGGGCCTCTGCTGATTCCCTCCATGTGACTGGCTGCAGGGGGGATGCGGTCCTTTCCAGCATGTGCAAGTCCTGAGCACAGAAGGGCATGGACACATCTGCAGCAAGGGAGGGGAAGGAGGTGTGGGTGGGAATGCTTGTACACTGGCATGGCAAGTGCCAGCTACTGTAGTTTTACTCTAGAGCAATAGTGCTTGAAAAGAACAAGGCATAAAATATTGCTGTGATGTGTGACACAACAAGGGGAAAACTGGTAAAATCCTCACACACCTGAGGGGCAGATTTAGGCTATGTTCTTTTCCACCATAGTTGCCAGCTGAGTAACAGGCTTCCTCCGATGTAAAGGAGCCAAAGCTCCACCATTCTTGTTATCTTGCATCTTGAGCCATGTTGTAGCATTGTGCTTGTCCCTGTTATAAGAGACAGCAGGAGTAATGGCTTCAGGGACATAGTCCCATGCCTTTTTCTCTTCCACTACTCTCTTCAACTCAGCATGTTCAGAATGACAAATGATAGGAAAGGGAGAGACAGCAGCGCATGAAAGACAAAACAGCAGTTCAGCATTATTTCTTACATGGAATATTCTGAGGCTTCCAAAAATTGCCTCTCTCCATTCCAGAGAGATCTTAAACATGCAAAATGTACACATTGTCAGTTTGGCACACTTCACTGCACCAGTGCCTTGTAGACTGTATTGACATGCTTCTATACAGCTCTGATCTAAGCTTGCCTCTGATCCAGTAATGCAGCATTGTACTCTCTTAAATCAAAGGCTTAAACTTCCTTTCTATGCAAATTTAGCCAGATTCAGTAATACCAACTATTTCACTATAAATTACCTTGAGCAAAGCCCATGGTTAAATGTACTGTTTGCCTTCTGTGTTTAATTATATATATGCTCCTTTATAATAAAAGATCTTTAAGCGGTTTACATAAACAATATATAGTATACAAAATAAAAGCCAATATAAAAATTACACTCTAAATATTACAGAAACAGTAAAACAGAGTGGAGCAATTGTATGCCAGGGAAAGCCTGAATAAAAGAGCACACCTTCAAGGGGCATCCAAAGATCACCAGTTTCTACCTAGTGGACCACATGTAGGAGAGTAATCCAGAGGGCTGGCACCACTACCAGAAAGGCCTATTTATTTTTTTAAACCTTTTTCCTGTCAAATGCAGCATTCCTTCATGGGTAATCTGTTGGGGACTGCAGGTTGGGCAGAACCAAAGCCAAAAGTGTGCAATCACCTCTTTTTCTTTCTACCACGACCCTTTTCTTTCCTTCTCTCTTTCTTCCTGAGCTTTAGAATACTGCAAAAGGGACACATTACTTTTGGCAGAGACCTGAACTGATCACATGCAGGGGACTTTTGCAGTTAGGCTGCAAGCCACATGAAATTAGCCAGGGGTGTGTGTGGGTGGGTGGGGGCTTCCATTTGCCTTAGGGCCAGAGGCTGCACACCCCTGCCTTAAGACTTTGCTGAACTGAATTTAAATTCTTATATATCCTTATCTAGGTATTCCTGTGTGAAAAGAGGTGATTAAAAACTGCAATTTGGAACAGAGGATATTTCTGGATGGACAGCTTCTAGCACTATCAGCCCAAAGGCATTGGGAACTATTCTACCTCTCCTTCCTTAATGAATTCTCTGTGGTAAGCAAAAGAGATAGAAGAAACAGTAGGGAGTCATGGGAGCATTAGTAATGGAAAATGATGAAGTATGGTCCTTCTGTAAAAACCTGTGAATGAAACAATGAATTAGCTTAAGAAAGTCTCAGCTGGAAGCATACAGAGGTTAAGAGAGAGATTGATACTGTTTGCATATTACAATAAGTCATGTTAATTAACCTTCAGGGTTCTGAGACTTAGGTTGGCCACCAGTTTGAGTATGCAGGTCATAATGAAATCATGCTGCAGCCTGTTGTGTCATACAGCCCCAGGCACCCTGAGTTATTTGATTGTTTAAACTTTGACCTTCAGTTAGCACAAGATGACAAACCACAGTGTATTTGCATATTTAAAATGGCTGCTTCATGTCTTGGGGCCTCATGGGTTAAATAACCCACAATGGTTTATTGCAACCTGTGAACCAAGCTACAGAGACAAAAAGATGAGCTTAGATTGTGCAAGCTTAACAGCAGTTTTGTGGTGTTGGCTAGCTATTGCTAGAAATTTGATGAAGAAAGTTTGGGGGCTTTGCAAAAATCTCCTGTTCAATCAACTGTTTATACAAAGCTGGCAGCATTCACAAATAGGAATCAGGCATGAGATGAACAGCGAGACAATCTTCAGAGAATCCTACCAATTTCAAGCACTACTTGTTTCTCTGGTGAACTATGAGGGCTCAGCTATGGGGCCTCCTTGGCCTCCCATTATTTTTCCCTGGTGGGTGAATGATTATCTTTCCTTTGGGGGGATTGATTTTGAAAAGAGACATTACTATAGAAAAGGGGGTTAGCTGCTCTCTGTCCATTTTTATTCTGTTCAGATTTACAGCTTTTTCAGGCTGAGGAAACTCACTAAAGATAAGAATCATGGAATTGTTAAATGCATACATAGCTTGAACCTCAGTAGTTGAATCTTACTTCCATTTGTTGTTGTTGTTGTTAGTTGCGAAGTCGTGTCCGACCCATCACGACCTCATGGACAACATTCCTCCAGGCCTTCCTGCCCTCCACCATCTCCCGGAGTCCACTTAAGCTCACACCAACTGCTTCAGTGACTCCATCAAGCCACCTCATCCTCTGCCGTCCCCTTCTTCTTTTGCCATCTATTGTTCCCAGCATTAGACTCTTCTCCAGGAAGTCCTTCCTTCTCATTAGGTGGCCAAAATGTTTGAGTTTCATCTTCAGTATCTGGCCGTCTAAAGAGCAGTCAGGGTTGATCTCCTCTAGGACTGACTGGTTTGATAGCCTTGCCATCCAAGGGACTTGCAGGAGTCTTCTCCAGCACCACAATTCAAAGGCCTCAATCCTTTGGCGCTCAGCCTTCCTTATGGTCCAGCTTTCACAACCATACATTGCAACTGGGAAAACCATAGCCTTAACTATATGCACTTTTGTTGGCAGGGTGAAGTCTCTGCTTTTTAGTATGCTGTCTAGATTTGCCATAGCTTTCCTCCCAAGGAGCAAGCGTCTTTTAATTTCTTGGCTGCAGTCCCCATCTGCAGTGATCTTGGAGCGCAGGAAAATAAAATCTGTCACTACCTCCATTTCTTCCCCATCTATTTGACAGGAAGTTAGAGGATCAGATGCCATGATCTTAGTTTTCTTAATGTTGAGTTTCAAGCCAACTTTTGTGCTCTCCTCCTTCACCCGCATCAAGAGGCTCTTTAGTTCCTCTTCATTTTCTGCTATTAGAGTGGTATCATCTGCATATCTGAGGTAGTTGATATTTCTCCCAGCAATCTTAATTCCAACTGGTGATTCATCTAGCCCTGCCTTTCTCATGATGTGCTCTGCATATAAGTTAAATAGGCAGGGCAACAGTATACAGCCTTGCCAAACTCCTTTCTCAATTTTGAACCAATCAGTGGTTCTGTGTCCAGTTCTCACTGTTGCTTCTTGGCCCGCATATAGGTTTCTCAAGAGACAAATAAGATGGTCTGGTACTCCCATCTCTTTAAGAACTTGCCACAATTTGTTGTGATCCACACAATCAAAGGCTTTAGCATAGTCACTGAAGCAGAAGTAGATGTTTTCTGGAACTCCTTAGCTTTCTCAGTGATCCAGCATATGTTGGCAATTTGATCTCTAGTTCCTCTCCCTCTTCGAAATCCTAACTGTCCTTCTGGTAGTTTTCGGTCCACATACTGCTGGAGCCTAGCTTGTAGGATTTTGAGCCTAACTTTGCTAGCATGTGAAATGAGTGCAATGGTGTGGTCGTTTGAACATTCTTTGGCATTGCCCTTCTTTGGGATCGGAATGTAAACTGACCTTTGCCAATCCTGTGGCCACTGTTGAATTTTCCAAATTTGCTGGCATATTGAGTGTAGCACTTTTACTGCATCGTCTTTTAGGATTTTGAATATCTCAACTGGAATACTGTCGCCTCCACTAGTAGTGTTGTTGCTCAGACTTCCTAAGGCCCATTTGACTTCACATTCCAGGATGTCTGGTTTGAGGTCAGTGACCACCCCATTGTGGTTATCAGGGACATTAAGCTCTTTCTTGTATAGTTCTTCTGTGTAATCGTGCCACCTCTTCCTAATCTCTTCTGCCTTTGTTAGGTCCCTGCCATTTTAGGCCTTTAACATGCCCATTTTTGCATGAAATGTTCCCTTCATATCTCCAATGTTCTTGAAGAGATCTCTGGTCCTCCCTATTCTATTGTTTTCTTCTATTTCTTTGCACTGTTCATTTAAGAAGGCATTCTTATCTCTTCTAGCTATTCTCTGGAATTCTGCATTCAATTTTTTGTATCTTTCTCTTTCTCCCTTGCCTTTCACTTCCCTTCTTTCCTCAGCTATTTGTAAAGCTTCCTCAGACAGCCATTTTGCTTTCTTGCATTTCTTTTTCTTTGGGATGGTTTTAGTTGCTACCTCTTGTACAATGTTGTGAACCTCTGTCCATAGTTCTTCAGGCACTCTGTCTATCAGATCTAATTCCCCAAATCTATTTGTCACCTCTACTGTATATTCATCAGGGATATGATTTAGGTCATACCTGAATGGCCTAGTGCTTTTCCCTACTTTCTTCAATTTAAGCCTAAATTTTGGAATAAGAAACATAGAAACTGAGCGAGTCAGAAGGGGCCTCCCAGGCCATCTAGTCCAACCTCCGGCACCAGCCGGCTCTGCTTATGACATGCCCACCATGTGCATGTCCAGCCTATCCTTGAACACCTGCACCAATGGGGCCTCAACGACCTCTCGTGGAAGCCCATTCCACACCCTTGGGGTCCTGACTGTCAAGAAGTGCTTCCTGGCATCCAAATGGAACCTTGGTTCCCTGAGCTTTGCTTCGTTGGAGCGTGTCCTGCCTTCCTCTGCAGGGGAGAACAGGTCTCTACACATCTCCATGTGACATCCCCTCACATACCTGTATGTCACCAACATATCCCCTCTGAGTCTCCTCTCCTCCAGGCTGAAGAGACCCAGTTCCCTCAGTCTCGCCTCATACCCCATCCCCTGTAAACCGGCCACCAACCTTGTGGCCCTACGCTGCACTGACTCCAACCTGGCTATATCCTTCCTGTAATGAGGGGCCCAAAACTGAACACACTACTCCAGTTGCGGGTGCACCAGAGTCGTGTAGAGTGATAGTAATACCTCTCTTGATCTAGAAGCCACACTTCTGGCTATGCAACCAAGGATGGCGTTCGCCCTCTTGACCACCGCATCACACTGCTGACTCATGTTTAGCCTGCAGTCAACCAGTACCCCAAGGTCCCTTTCACAAGTGCTGCTCTCCAGCCACTTGTCACCTAACCTGTACCTATGACAGCTATTCCTATGTCCCAGGTGCAAGACCTTGCACTTATCCACATTGAACACCATCCTCTTGTCTCCTGCCCATTTCCATAGTCTGTCCAGATCCTTTTGGATCTGGAGTACCTGCTCCTCAGTTGTGGCCACTGCTCCAGTTTTAGTGTCGTCTGTGAATTTGATCAGCAGACTGTTCATCCCTTCTTCCATGTCGTTAATGAAAAGATTAAACAGGATCGGCCCCAGGACAGAGCCCTGGGGGACCCCGCTTGTCACTGGCCACCATCCTGATGATTCCCCGCTAATGGTTACCTTCTGCTTTTGGTCAGTCAACCATGCCCTAATCCACCGGATAGTGCTTTGGTGTGTCCCAAAACTCCTCAGTTTCTCCACCAGGATATCATGGGGCACTTTGTCAAAGCCCTTGCTGAAATCCAGGTATAACACATCCACTGCATTCCCTCCATCTAGCCATCTCGAAACCTTGTCATAGAATTCCACAAGGTTTGTCCACAGGACCTGTTTTTCGGAAGCCGTGTTGTGTGGCTGTCAGCCTCCCTTCCCTGTCCAACATCACTAAATCTCTCTCTATTATGAGCCTTTCCATTGTTTTTCCTACAATGGACGTAAGGCTAACCAGTCTATAATTCCCCATGTCCTTTCTATTACCCTTTTTGAAAATTGGGACCACTGCTGCCACCCTCCAGTCCTCTGGAACTTCACCCGTTCTCCATGAGGTCTCAAAAATGGAGGCCAGCGGGCGTGAGAGAACCTCTGCGAACTCTCTAAGTACTCTCGGGTGTAACCCGTCAGGGTCTGGCGCCTTTATAATGTCCAATGCCCTGAGGAGCCCCTCGACTTCAAGAGGGGTGACTCTAATCTGTGCCCCGAAGTCCCCAGCCTCATCTAATCTCCTATGAGGATATCCCCCATCCTGCTCTGGGGAGAACACAGAGGCAAAATAGTCATTTAGCATCTGTGCCTGTTCCCTCATATCAGTCACTGGATCTCCTTCCTCCTTATTTAGTGGTCCCACCACTTGTCTCCCCTTCCTTTTCCTATTTACATGCAGAAAGAAGCACTTTTTGTTGCTCTTGATATTTTTGGGAAGTCTCAGCTCATAATCAGCCTTAGCCTTGCGAAGAATCCTTCTGCAACGGGCCTCCTCCTCCCGGTACACCCTTCTGTCTATTTCCCCCAGTACCCATTTCCTATGGAGGTTCCTCTTTCGTCTAATCCCTCTAACCACCTCCTTTCGCATCCATAGCGGCACTCTCCTGCACCTCCCCACCTTACTGACTAGAGTTATCATCAAGGCTTGGGCCTCCAAAACCTCCCCTTTGAGTGCTATCCACCCCTCCTCAACTCACTTGCCTTCCAGTAACCTATCCCAGGAGACTTTCCCCAGTCTGGCCTTCAGTTGGCCAAAGTTGGCCCTCTTGAAGTCCCAGCTTCTAGTGCTCGACCTGCTGCACATCCCCAGTCCCCTGATCTTCAATTTAAACCTAAATTTTGCCACAAGAAGCTCATGATCTGAGCCACAATCAGCTCCTGGTCTAGTTTTTACTGACTGTATAGAGCTTCGCCTTCTTTGGCTGCAGAGCACATAGTCAATCTGATCTCTGTGTTGACCGTCTGGTGATGTCCATGTGTAGAGTCGTCTCTTGGGTTGTTGGAAAAGAGTGTTTGCTATGACCATCGTATTCTCTTGACAAAATTCTACCAGCCTGTGCCCTGCTTCATTTTGTACTCCAAGGCCAAACTTTCCTATTATTTTGGTTATCCTTTGGCTTCCAAATTTAGCATTCCAATCCCCCATGATGATAAGGACATCATTTTTTGGTGTTAATTCTAGAAGGTGTTGTAGGCCTTCATAGAACTGGTCAGCTTCAGCCTCTTCAGCACCAGTGGATGGGGCATAGACTTGGACTATTGTGATGTTGAATGGTTTTTCTTGGATTCGAACTGAGATTATTCTGTCATTTTGGGGATTGTGTCCCAGTACCGCTTTTCCTACTCTTTAATTGACTATGAAGGCTACTCCATTTCTTCTGAGGGATTCTTGCCCGCAGTAGTATACCTGATGGTCCTCTGAATTAAATTCACCCATTCCTGTCCATTTTAGTTCACTGATTCCTAAGATGTTACTTCCATACTTTAGCTCAACTCTTTTCCCTGCTGTTCTTCCTCCAATATTCTGAATACTTTTTCCAACTAAGTAGTTCTAATACTAACAATTCACAATTTGCTTCATTTTCAGGATTTATCTCTGATGGAGTCTAAAGAAATCAAAAGGGGAGACCCTTTCCTCTCAACTACCCACATATTCAGTGAAGCCTCTAATACCACACCAGCCAGAAGGTACCATGATGTCACAGAGCTTAGCACCATGAGTAAGGCTCCTGAAGAGGGGATGGTGGAGGAAAAGGAAGGGATGTCTTGTTCTCAAGATCTAACACTTCTTTTTATTAAGGAAGAACAGATACAGGGCAGACTATCTAATCCTATGGAAAGAGAGACTGGTGTGGAACCACAAAGAGGCAGGAGTGATCCAGAGAACTATGCAGGACTTTCAGAGAGAGAAATTGCTTTCAATATACAAGAAGTGAATTTGGAGAATAGGAAGGTTCTCTGCTTGAATTGCCATCATGAAGAACTTGCAGATTCTGATCCCTTAAATTGTAACCAGTCTTCCTTTTTCAATACTTCCACCCTGGCACAGGTACCAAGCCCCCAAGGGGAGGTGGAGGCCCTTGCTGGATTTTCCCAAGCCTTGAAACCCTGTGACTCATACCCTCAGACACACTATATAGAAACAGTGAGAACAGACACTTTTCCTGTCTATGATTGTCCCTCCATGACTCATGGTATTACAGGGTGTCACCAAACTGCTGCGTCTCCAGCCAGATCAGATGAAGATCACTCATGGGAACTACAGGTACAACATGAAATAGACAAGGGACTTTTAAAAGGTACGGAAGTTACAAAGGAGACTTATGAGGAGATGGCCTCCAAGATGGAGAGAGCTGGCTTGATACAGTTCAGTTCCTCCACAAAAGATGAGGAGGAAGTAAGAGAGATAAAGGGACAAAGAGAGGATGTGAACTCTTCTGTTCCTTATCAACCAACATCTGAATGTTCTGAAAACAAAATAGTAAATTTAGGTGTGACACAAACAAAACCTAATGGAATTTTGTCTCTGCTGTCCTCTAAGAAAGCAAAGCACCATTCAGGCACACAAAAAGAAGTAGAAGAAATGGAACAAAATGCATTTCTTGACACCATACTGCATCTCAAGGAGAAGGAGGAGGATGGCACAAGTGAAAGCACAACTCATTCACAGAAGGAGAAAAACCAGTTAAACTATGCTAAAACTCATACAGATTGCAGTGAAGCAGAAGCAGATCAGAAAGAGACATCAGAAATAATGGAGGCAGAGATGGAGTTGCTAGAGTTGAAAGATGCACAAAAGAATGAAAACGAGGTTTGGATCAGAATGGAGACCAACATGAAAACAAAGCATGAGAAGCTGGAATTGGAGTACAATGTCCAGGAAGAACAAGAATTAGACATGCAAGTAGCAGGAGCAGGAAAGAGAAAGCTGACCAGCCTACCTGTCACACTCTGTCTGGATACACTTTCTAATATGGAAAATAACTGGGCCCTTCTTAGTTTAAACAAGGCCAGTTCTTTGGCTGAGGCTGAAGGATTTGCCTTCTCTTCCAAGGAACTCCTCTCACCAGGTCACTATCCACAGTCAGTTTGTGAATTACCAAAGCCCTATGGCCAAACTGCAGCTATGGTATTTACTACACCACCTGAAGACATGCACCCAATGAATGAAAGCCCAAGGACAGAGTGTCCCATGTCTCTTAACTCTTACCAGTCAGAATACACTGACATCTGTCACCCAGCAGGCTGTATCTCTGATATTGGCCAAGAAAGTGAGCGAACTGCTGAAGAAGACAGAATTCATTCTATTGAAGAGGAAGACAATGAAAATTCTGGAGATGAGAAATATGTGAGGAGTGATAATAGTGAAGAAATTGCACCATCCTGTCAGGAATTAGTAGTAAGTCCAGATCACCATGACTTACATGATTCCCAACTTTCAGATCACCCTGTTAAAGTTGCAATTCATAGTCCTACCTCACCACTGGGAACCACAATAGCAGTAGGTCCACTGCACGCCAGTGCTGGCAAAGGAACCAGTTGTGATATCGTGCTATGTGAATTAGCAGATTCCATACAAAAGCCACCAAACCAGAATCCACCTACTTCCTGTCAACTGCCTTGTGAAGAAGCCTCAGTATTGGACAGTGTTGGACATGTCCAGACTTCCAGAAAAAGCAAGGGCTTTCATGAAGATACTCAAAGTTCTGCTTCCAAGATCCTCCAAAGTATATCTTCAGGGGAGTACCAGTCCAGTTCAGCTAAAGGCAATGTAGAATTGAGTCGTGTTTCATTTTTGACTACATGCAATCCAGCATCACTACAGGCACAAGACACCACTATACATTATTTGGATAAATCTCAACAGTATCTAAGCCCCCCAGTGCAGAGTTTTGTGTTTCCAGAAAAGGAAATAGGAACAGAAACACTTTGCATGGAGCGAGAAATCTCTGTCAGTGAGTCACCATGTTTTTCCATTCTTGAGGAGGACAAAGCAGAATGTGACCACAACATTGAGAATCTTCCCACTCCTGACATTTGTTCTGTGATAGTCACGGATGTGGCTCAGCTCACAAAGCCTTTAACCCCAGTGCCTTTCTCTAATCAAACTCCAGCCTCTGAACCTGCTTCCAGCCACTTCAGTCAGCTCTTTTCACTTGCAGCAGATTCCAAACCTTCTCAGTCTCTAACTTCTCCACCTAAAGCACATGCCTCTACCCAGCCAGCAGCCCAGACTCTTGATCCCAGGCATCTTCTAGAACAACCACCATCTTCCAGCCAGATTTTAACCTTAAAGTCCACTTATGTTACGTCTCCACCACCTTTGGCCCCTACACTTGTCACTGAACTACTTGATCAATCTCCATTTTCAGAATGTGATTTGAACCAACATGACCAGCTCCCAGTCTCAGTGCTCAGTTCTGATCAATCTGTGTCCCTGGAGTATGAAGCCAACCAACCCATGCTCATGCCAATTGTTTTTGGTCATTCTGTGTTTCCTGAACATACCAGTCAGTCCAACCAACTAATTAACAAAAGCCAAATCAGAGAACCTGCAGCACCTGATCTTAACAATAGCCTTCTCACTGAACTTCTGGTCTTTGCAAGTAACAGAGATAATCATAATCCAGCTTCAGCTTCCATCTCCAGTCAGCCTTCATCTCCTGATGGTAACTTTTCTGCTTTTCAATCAGCTGAAATACCAGCAACTAGTCTGCCTATCTTCTGCACAGGTGGAAATGATTGGATAGATGGTAGTGTGCCTATTGCTGACTTTATATCTGATAGCACACCCTCTGTCTTGCAATATAAAAACCTTGTCCCAAATGTGGACAATAGAAGGGAAGAATTCTCTGTTGCAAAATTGGCCAAGTCAGAGGGGGCAGGTGTTCCACAAGACCAGAAAGACTGGAATATACAAGAAGTGTGGAATAATTTGGAGGTCAGTCTGTTGGGTAGACACTCAGATTTAATCAGTTTAGGGAATGAAGCATCAGAGGCAAACCCCATGTATAGCCTTCCTGAAACAATGCCCAATGTTATGGGTATGCACGATGAGAAATCTTCTGATCACATCTCTTTTCCTTCAGTTAAGAGTCAGAAAATGTGTGAATCTACAGAGTCCACAAATTCAAGCCAGTCTCTTCCATTTCTAGCTTTCACCAACCCAATCCACTTTCTGCAGCTAGGTCCTCCTTCACCGCCAACTACCATGCAAGAGTCAGGAAATGCAAAAGAAACAGAACCATCTGTGTTAATGTGGCAAGTAGCAGAAACTACTGAAAAGTTTGAGATAGGCTTGGAAAAATCAGTGATGGAACAAAGTCCAGCTTTGGCTCAGAGGAAGGACAGAGTAACCAAACATCCACCTTTAGAGAAATCCTCTAGTTGCCCAGATAAAAATGTTGTTGGGCTGGACACAAAAGGATTAGCATACAATTCAAAGAAACAAGAGATGTTAATCAAGCATCGAGCAAAAAGCAAGGATTGGCATCGGCATGGCATAAGAAAGATCTCAATACCAACAGACAATGCATTAGGTGAGTACCTTTTAATCACTGTCCTCAGTCAAAACTATAGGAAAATCAAATAGAGGGGAACAATGGAATTGATGAGGCAGGCCACAATTGTATAACCCCTTTTCCCTCATCCTCTAGAAAAAGTACTGAAAACTTTCCACCAGAAAGTTTATATTTTAGCTTAGTAATAGAAATTAAATTTTACTAATTCTCTATAAGTTTAGACAAATGATGAACTAATGGACTAGTTATAGACAAGTGGTTACATCCCTATCTGTTCTCTACAGTAGCAATGTAAGAAGAACCCTGCTGAAATTGGTGAAGTGTCTGTCTAATCCAGCATCCTGTTTCCACCCAGAATCCTACAAGAAGAGCAAATATTCCCTATTTGTACTGAGAGGTATACTGTCTCTAAACATGGAGGGTCTATTTAACTATCATGACAATAATTGGAAGACCTATCTTTCATTACTTTCTTTAACACCTTTTGAAGTGATCTAAATGAGTGGCAATCACTACAGCCACACCTTGTGCTAATAGCCATTGGCTTAGAAGGCTAGAAAAAGCAATTTCATTGGGGATAAATATTTTGATGGCTAATTCAATGATGGTTAAATCAAACTTCCATGTTCAAAGAAAATACACCCCTGAGTATCAGATACTTTGGACAAACTGAAAAGCTATCCTCTACATACTTCTTTATAGGCTTCCTGGAAGAATTGGACTGGCCATTGCTAGAAGCAGGGTGCTGGATTAATTGGAGCTCTGATATGACCTAGCAGGCTCTTCCTGTGTGCATAATGTCGGGAACTAATTTTCACATATCTCAGGAAGGGCCTGGCAAGCTTTAGCCTAACCTACCTTTTTATTTAATATGTTTTCTGGCTGCCTTTCAGGCCTTGAGCAAGGAACAGTAACCATAATGGGGCTACACAGATAGGAGCAGGTTTGGTTCTCAGTGGTTGAGAACAGGTTTAGTCCTGCACACAAATGGTGTTTCCTGTGTACCCTCCTTCTATATGAGTTAACATTGTCACTTTGTCCTATGAAGAAAAGTGCTGTGCTTGGTATAGTTGAGATTAAGATAAAACACATTTTACACTCCTGATCTGTATAGCCCCACTGTCAGAAATGTAACAAAATATGCAGAGGTGAGCTGCATGTGGGTGTGCACACACTGCATACAGAATAACCAGAGGTATCAATATTTTTCTAATATTCCTGTATAAAAATTAGTTCCTAGGCTTGGTCACTTTCCAATGTTAACAAGAAAGACTTTGTAAAAGACTATTCAGATAAGTGCAGATTTCATTCTTGTATGTTTCTATGATATAGTAAGGATTAATTCTAATTTGGATGCCACCTTGTTGCAGGTTGTTCTTGCAGCTGTAGTCACACAATATTTCTGTGCCCTTGTGGTTTAGAAACCATGGGTGATTTTGAGTCACAATTGTGATACTGAACCTGGAAATCACTGTGGATCTGGTTTGGCTACATGAAGACCACCTGAAAAGCATGACCAGGGATTGTATATACTACCTTAGTGATTTGGAAACACCCATAAGCTCCCAAATTAGGTAGCATAGAAATTGGGGGGAAATGGGTTATAGTTGGCAGGATTCTCAGCAAAATCTGTTCCTCCTAAGGAAGTACAGCGAGAGGAAACACCCAAACTGATGGTGTCTTTGGGTCTATTTTCTTTCTGACTTGTGAATGACTATTGTTTAGTCTGGGTGGTGGTGTGAAGCAAAGTGCTGCATTTGGCCACACTGTTGTAAGTCAGTGTGAAAATCTGCCTTTACTGAAAGGGAAGCCATGAGAGCACAGTGTGTTTCTGTTCACAGAAATGAATTGCTCCAGCCTACCTGGAGCCTTGGCTTCTTCATGCAGCATGTTCCCCTCTTTCTGCCTTAAATTTCACTTGCTGTAATAAGCTACTTTACTGAGTTACATTAATTCATTTCTGTACACTTGTTTGCAAAAAATTAATTTGTTGTTATGTTTCATTTTCAGAAGTGTTAGCATCCCTTGTCCCCTCAAAGGAGACAACCTCTGCACACAAAGACAAATCAGACCATTTGGATCTAGTTAAATATGAGTGAGTCTTTTGCCTTGTATTTATTTGTATTCAGCTCCCTTAAATTCCCCTTAGGATAGTGGACTTCAATTTTTTTCTAGTGCTTTCTGAATTTTTCATGTAAACATCAAAATATTTTCATGACCCCTGCCTACACTTTATACCATGCCATAGGAACTGAGAATCATACACTGTAGCAATGAGAAATGAGTTTCAGTGAGGAAGATCAAGGTTCAAATCTTTGCTTGGTGGTGAAGATCACTGGGTGACCTTGAGCAAATCTCTAAGATTCATTGTATTGCACATAGTTGCCTGCAGACTAATCCAGATGTGGCTTTTGCCCATAACAGTTAAGGCTTAGCTCATCCTTACATGCCAGGCAAGTGGTGCTAAACTCCTCAGAATGTATACAGATAACAGTCTTAAAGCTACTGGATCTAGATGTGGATTTGTGAGGGGTGGGAGGCTTATCACGCTCACTTTAAGATGAAAACATTACTGAGCCAAGAATTTTCCAGCTCAGATTAACATCCATCCCCCAAAAGACCGCTTGGCTCAGCTAGGAGAGACTCTACTGGGGCTTCAGCCTATTGACATATTTGGAATGAAGCCAGGAGAAGCCCTCTCCACTGAGGGGAGGTAATCAGGGTGCCCCAAAAACTCTTGCATGGGAAGAAATCTCCCCACAGAGGACTCTTCTGCCTGAAAGGTACTTGGCATAGAAAGGAATTGCCCTCCCACAGATGTTTTCAGGGACACACTCTCTTTATTTTCTTGGGCCACACGTGGTAGCCTTGCAGCTGAAGGACTGTCCTTTGCAGCAGGAATGGTGCAGCCTTGCCAGCCTCCATGACCCCTGGCTGCAAATGATGGCTTTGCAAATGGCTGCACATGAGGTGAATGGATTCACAGAACTAGTTGATCACATACCTCTCAGCCAATCTGATGGAGATGCAGTTTACCTTCTGTTTTAGCCAATTTGATGAGGGAGGGAGGATAATCCCTGTTAGTTGTTGTTGTTGTTGTTATTTTATCATCATCATCAAAACAGTTTTACCCCGTCCAATACGGAAAAACATCTCAGGACGGCTTACAATAATTAAAACAATAATAATGTAAATAAAACAATATTACAATGATTTAGGCAATAAATAACAAAACAATAAATAGCATTCATAACCCCAACAAAACAAAAACTAAAACAAAATGCAACTGTTGATGTTAAAACCATTTAAACCCCCTTAATGCTTAAAATGATGGGTGAATAAAAAGCTTTTTACCTGGCGCGGAAAAGACAGACAGACCCAGGCTTTTAGGCAGTTCCAAATCAGCATGGGAACAGCCATGAAAGAGCCAACACCCATGTTGATGAAGCAGATGTAAAGGGGGATGTTGGGAGTATTTCTTTCCTCACAGAGTTGATATTATTATTCTGATGTCTATTGCTCTGAGGTGCTTCAGGCCAGATAGCTGCCAGCACTACCACTCAAAAGGCATTGTGCAGCTATTCTGTCATTCCCTCCTGAAAATATTTTTTAGCAAGAATGAAAGACAAAGGAAGCTTTGGGAAATCTTGGGGAGGATTACAGGTGGAAGACAACATTATCTGGACTACCCGTAAAATTCAGTAAATGTGCTTGAGTGATCGCACAGTAAAAGTGATCATCCTGTGTGCCAGTGAGAAGACTTATTTGGACTTAGTTTTGATTTCCAGGTTGTCATGTTCTGCAGCAAGAGCAGACAATACAGACCCTGACAGGTGTAACTGATGAAATTCTACTCTTGGGATGTATCACTTCCTTTGGAGAGCTTATTGAGATTTTTCTTATTTTCATACTGAAAGAGAGAAGAAACCAGCAGAAGAAGTGGAAAACATCAAGCGGCGGCACTCAAAACTGATCAACTCATGTTAGTATCTCCTGCCTAAGTAACTTTGTGGTATTCTGTCCTTAAGGAAGAGCATAGTTATCCCTTTAAATAAAGAAGAAGAAAAGAAATGTTTTTAACCTGTGAAGAGGAAAGAAGTCATGGGTCCTGACCCAGAATATTCTCCCAATTGATACTAGGTTCACTTTCTTGTTAAAACACCAGGTTCTCCCTGGCTACTCTTTGCCCCTGGAGATATATAGAAGTGGCATAGTCAAGAAAGAACATTGGGCAGATTAAAATATAATAAATTAAATAAATTAAAAATAAAGACTAGAGGAACTCAGACAGCAGCACAGCTGAGAAGAATATTTCATATTCTGTAGGGGAAGGTGGCAGAATATATGCTTTGCATGCCTTCAGTCCCAAGGACCTCCAGGCTTGAAAACTCTTGGAAACCACTGCCAGTCAGTGTTGGGACAGATGGATCTATGGTCTGGTTCAGTATAAGGCAGTTTTCTAGATTCCTTTATTTATCCAGGTGTCCATACCATTCATGTATAAATTGCAGGCTGGGGACTCCATTTTAGCATCAAAAGAGCTAAACAGATGAGAAGAGCTGAATTCTCCTGCTGCTGTATCTCTCTCTGCTCCATAATTTTAATTTGTCATTTTTCTCCTTAGTCTGGTTTACTTCCCATCATCTGGGCTAAGGGAAAAGTGCTTGCAGCAACGGAAAGCTGGGAGATATGATGGGAGAAGATGGAGGTCTCCTAATTCATCTTCCCCTTCTGATGTTACCATTAGGTTCCAAGTTCTCAGTTTCTATTGTATACATGAATGGGGGAGACATGTGAATGATACATGTGTCTGACCCCATTATGTCTAGTTTGGTCCTTCCGTCATCCTCTGAAGTGCTGAGACCACCCCACATGCCAATGATAGGAAACATGTGTGACCCTCAGATGTTGGTGGATGGGAGCTCCCATCAGCCTGAGGCAGCATAGCTGAGAGTGAGGGAAGATGGGAACTGTAGTCCAAGAACACTTAAAAGAAAGCACATTCCCCATCCTTGCTCTGTGCCCCAGTTCTAGAAATAATCTAGTCAGTATGGATGGAATGCTGGGAAAATGTCCACTGTGGGAATATTCCAGTCCCCATCCCTGAATGTTCGGCTTTCATTTTTTAAATTAACTGAGAAGCTAATTTATATAACTACATGGAAAAACATAAAGAGTAGACTTCTTCTCACTTGCTCATTAAAAAAGTAAAGCTCCTATCATTCAATGCCCTGGCTGGTCAGTATGAAAGCTCTTGCAAGATTATCAAATTGTTAGTAATCAATATTACTAAAATGTAGCATAATTAACTTTACATTATTGATAACTTCCTATCACCCCTCCCCCCCCCACCCTACACCTCTCAGTGCACTATTGTGAGCAGTACAAATCTTCTGGCTACAGGCCTGATGTGTCAATTCAGAACATGTATGATGTTATGCTTTTTATCTACAGCACGATTACTCTACCAGGAATACAGTGATGTTGCACTGAACAAAGCCATTCAAAGCCAAAAAAGAGCAGATTCCTTATCTGAAGAAGTGGAGCTGGGGTCCCCAAGCTCCCCAAGACTGCGAAGAAAAGTGCTGTCCCCACAAGACTCTTACCTACAACGTCTGTCAGTTTCATCCAGTACATCTCTCTGGCAGGATATCCCTATGGTCCGAGGGAGCACCATGCTGCTTAGTATGACCCGGGAGGAACAGAAGCTGCAAGAGGTACTGGATAAGGGACACAGTCAGACATATTTGCTGGAAAGGAGGCTAAAATAGCACAGATAAAGAACAGAGAACAGGTGGGAAAATGATACAGTAGCAGAAAGAAAAGACATTTAGGAATATACCAAAGGTTTTGTGCTGGATATGGTGATGAAACAAGTGCTAGCATTTGCTTAACATGTTCTAAAGACAGAAATGGAAAACATGAAGAACTGAAATGCATTGTGTCATCCCAACTGGCCATAGGAAATCATTGGAAGATGTTGGGGATCATGTTTAAATCAAATTACTTGCAAAAATGCACCTTTATATTTCAGGCATACCTTCACAAAATCAAAATGCCTACACACTAAATGGCTTTAGGAAACACCACTTATGTCCCCAAACATGTCAGTTTCTTGGGATCATCTCTTAATAGAAAAAGGAATCAAAATATAATGAAAGAAAAAAAATGACAGTAGCCCAACAGAGTGATATCATAGCAACACTAAAATTGGGGGAGGGGGAGGGAAAAACTACCTAGGATCATTTTGATCCCCACCCCCACCCCACCACACAAATTCCCTTTACAATCACCTATGCTTCTGAATGACTGTAGGAAAAATTGTAATAAGACTAGCACCCTCAGGAAAAGGACCCCCCACAGTGCTTATGCACCCTCCTTTAGTGCCAAATATCCTAAGAGGCAGTGCTTGGCCCCAGCCTGCTGCATGGCCATGATCTTTACAGCATCCTTCTGAATTCTCATAGGAATGCCTTGGAAAGAGGCCAGGAGCCTCACAGAAAGGATCAGGAACCCCCAACCTGCTTTTGCACCTTTAGTTAGCACCCCAAAGCTTCCAAGAGGCACTATGGCCCCTGCTAAAACACACAGCCATGATACTTAAACTGACCTTCCAAATGGCAATTGGAATGGGAACATAGAAACAGAGCAAGTCAGAAGGGACCTCCCGGGCCATCTAGCCTAACCTCTGGCTCTAGCCGGCTCCGATCACAACATGGCCACCATGTGCATGTCTAGCCTATCCTTCACCAATAACACCCTCACCGATGGGGTCTCAACCACCTACTGTGGAAGCCCATTCCATACCATCAGGATCCTAGCGGTCAGGAAGTGCTTCCTGGCATCTAAATGGCACCTTGGTTCCCTGAGCTTTGCTCTGTTAGAGCACGTCCTGCCTTCCTCTGCAGGGGAGAACAGGTCTCTACCCATCTCCATGTGACATCCCCTCACATACCTGTATGTCGCCAACAGATCCCCTCTGAGTCTCCTCTTCTCCAGGCTGAAGAGACCCAGTTCCCTCAGTCTCACCTCATTCGGCATCCCCTGCAAACTGGCCACCAAACTTGTGGCCCTACACTGCACTGACTATATCCTGTAATGAGGGGCCAAAAATTGAACACAATACTCCAATTGCATGCGCACCAGAGTCATATAGGGTGGTAGTAATACCTCTTTCGATTCTAGAAGCCACATTTCTGCCTATGCTACCAAGGATGGCATTCGCCCTCTTGGCCACCCTATCACACTGCTGACTCATGTTTAGCCTGCAGTCAACCAGCACCCCGAGGTCCCTTTCACAAGTGCTGCTCTCCAGCTACTTGTCCCCTAACCCGTACTTATGACACCCATTCCTGTGCCCGAAATGCAAGACCTTGCACTTATATACACTGAGTGCCATCCTGTTGTCTCCTGCCCTCTTCCATAGTCTGTCCAGATCCTTTTGGATCTGGAGTACCTGCTCCTCAATCCTGGCCACTGCCCCAGTTTTAGTATCATCTGCCAATTTGATCAGCAGACTGTTTAATCTTTTCATCAATGACATGGAAGAAGGAGTAAACAGGATCAGCCCCAGGACAGAGCCTTAAGATTAAACAGGACATTTAATTTAATTTAATTTAATTTTTAATTTAATTAAGATTAAACAGGACAAAGCCCCAGGAAAGAGCCAGGACAGGACAGAATACATTGGAATGAAGCCAGTAGCCTCACAGAAGAGGAAAGAATATCTGCTTATTGCCATTGCAGACTGCAGCTCAAGCTTGGGCTCCACAGTTACACACTGGAAAAGGTTTTTATCAAGTGACTGCTCCTGCAGAAGAGCAGGGGAGGACTACTAGTGGCCTTCTAAATATTTCAGCTCACAATTTCAAGCCATTCAGAAAGACGTATTTAAATATCCTTGCTGTGTGTCAGTTGGGGCCATTCCCATGGAGCATGCAACAAACAGTAGTTCTTAGGATGCTTGTGGGTACTAGGTTATGGCAATGGAGCAGTTTGAGGACTCATGTTCTCTGTGTCATCAGGGGCCATTCCCATGGTGCATATATCAAATTGTGCACTTTGTACAAAACCATTTTCTATGTAGCAAACATAATTTCCTACTTGTGGCTTTCCATTTCTATTTACCTTGGTCCCAAATAATTTATTGCTTTTTAAGAGTGAGTGCCCAGAGTTCTAGATGTATCTTCTTATAATTACTGACAGGCCAAGTTTGAACTGATTGCATCAGAAGCCTCATACCTGCGGAGCTTAAATGTGGCAGTGGATCACTTTCAGCACTCCCAGGAACTACAGGCTGTCCTGACTAATCAAGATAAACAGTGGCTTTTCTCTCGTCTCCAAGATGTGCATGATGTTAGTGCCAAGTGAGTTCTGGTCCTTCTGTTTTTCAACAGCCAAAGGTTTCTACCAAGTATAGGGTATCTCTAGTTATACTTCCCTCTACCACATAACCAACTTCTACTTTGTATGGGATTATCCATTCACACTGACATTCCTATATTCAAATATGATCGTATGTATCATACTCAATCTAGAAAGTGCTTTCTGCCATTTTGGAATGAAATCTGGATTCCAGTAACCATACATATGTAGTCCAAGAGGGAAAAAAACCAAATTTATCTATTAAAAGAAGTGTTTCCTAGTATTTTAATGTGTGATTTTTAAATATATGTTTTTCTGGTTGTACATTTGCCTAAACTAGAGTATTTCTAGCAGACGTCTACAATATAAGTGACTGTAATGACTAAATGCATTTTCCCAAATAAAGCTACCAAAAATGATTCCAGACATGACCTGTACTCCAAACATCATGACCTGAACTGGCAAGCACATGTTGATATAGATACACAGTGAGAGTTGCTTGATAAACTAAGTATCAGGTAAAGATGCTTTGAACCGAGTTATACATAAGCAGACAAGTTATTAACACATTGCCTGTGCTTCCTTGTCCTTCATAACAGTATCACCTCCAAATATAGCCTTTGTGCCTCCCCTGCTTGGGAGATGAGCAACCTTCTTGCAGAACCAACTTGGGTCATCTCTGGGGTGAGGAATATATGGAGGCTTTAGTCTGGCTGTAGTATTAATGTCATTATAGAGAGAGGAAGTGTGAGGAACCTGTGTATCCCTCGTCAATCAGCTGCAAGGTAACATCCAAAGTGGCTCAGAGAACTAGCATTAGCATATTATTCTGCATCCATGCAATTTTGTTTTATTAGTACAATTTTTGGGACCTTGCAGACTTGCAACTTCAGGTTCAATCCTGTTTCTACTTAGCTGTAGGCTCTGTTGAACTCAGAGAAGCTTGCTTCTGAGTAGACATGCATAGAATTGCACCGTTAATTTCATAACCCTTTTTGTCCTCTCACCACCTTTTTAAAATCCCTAAATAGCTAATGGTGAATATCCATAATTTAGAATGTTAATTTTCATGTTGAAATTGTGCTCCCTCTCTTGCTGTCACCTGGCTTAACTGTAATATTTCAAAGTATATCCTTGTTGAAATAATGTGGCATCATAATGCAGGAGGCTCTGAGACAAATTTAGATGTTTAGATCCTTCCTAAAAGGAGATGAGGGACTGCAGGTGGCACAGTGGTTTAAACTGCTCTGCTGCTGGGGTGGTTGATCAAAAGGTCGACAGTTTGAATCCTCAGGCAGAGTGAGCTCCTGTGCTTTGTCCCAGCTCCTGCCAACCTTGCAGTTAGAAAGCATATAAATGCAAGTAGATAGAGTAGGTACCACTTTGGTGGGAAGGTAACAGCATTCCATGGACTTCGGTATTTAGTCATGCTGGCCAAATGACCATGGGGACTGTCTGCTGACAAACACTGGCTTCAGAGATGAGCACTGCCCCAAGAGTCAGACATGACTGGACTTTAATGTCATGGGGAAACCTTTACTTATAAAAAGAGAGGATGAGGAAGCCCTGACCTCTGGTAAAATTACATACTGCACTTAAAATATGCTGGCCCTTAAGGAACTGTCATTGTGAGCTGTTCCACCTGTATAGACTAAGGATCTTTAAAATACTTTTGCTGCCCTCATATAGAGACATTATGAATCAAGGCTCCCCAACAGCTTGCAGATAGACACAGTAATGTTCAGAACGACACACATAATTCTAAGAGGAAGATAAATGTTGAAAGGGAGAGGGAAATAAGTCTGGTAACCATGTTCCTTTCCCTCATGATGCCCCATGCATTCCTGCAGTTTCCTCTTTGACCTAGAAGAGAAGCTTGAAGAGAACATGTTCACATTCAACGTGTGTGATGTGACTCTGAGGCACGCTCCAGAATTCCGCAGGGTTTATTTGCCATATGTGACAAATCAGACCTACCAGGAACAAACCTTTCAGAGGCTACTGTAAGTAATCTAAAGTTGTCCCTTTCCCTGTCTCTTCTTATTTTCATAGTACTCCACAAATAATTTTTGAAAATCTTGTTTGACTTTTTACAGGCACAAGCCCTCTCTTCTCTCCAGGGAACTATAGCTCTGTAAGCAGAGTTGGCAGCAGTAGGGCTAAGAGAATGCTCTGCTCCCTCATACACCAGAATACTTTTGGGAGAGTTGTGACAGTTGGTATAAAATTTTGCTTTAGTGACACCTGGTTTGGGATGAGAAATGTAGACTATAAAAAAGTCAAAGTTCTTTAGCAAGGGAACAGTACTTTATATTCTAGTATTACTCTTTTGGGAGGCATACAATTACTCCCTGCATACATTTCAGGAGTCTCTTCTTTGACAGACTAAGGACTACCTTATAAACCAATCAATAACTTACAGATATCTTATTTCAGTGAGCAATGTAAGTTAATAAGTGAGCAGTATAGTACACATACACTTAGGGAGTGTTCAAAATATGATTGAATTCAGGATCCCACTTAGGGAAGCAATGATTTCAAGATTTTTTACAGGAATAACAAGCAACTACATTGCATCTCCTAGAATGCAAGCCTTAGATATGAAATGTAGGAAAATTTAGAGGGCATTAAGGCTCCAAACCTATATCTATTTACTTGAGAATAAGCATCAATGAAATCAAATGGGTTTAGGGTCACGCTATAAGATTGCAGTTCATCGTGGCCTCTGTGCATAACACATTATGGGTGCTGCACCTGCGCAATGCCTGTTGTCGGGATGATTAAACAGCTTTAACAGTTTTTGGTGGGAACTCTGTGCCCTTCCCCCCCCCCTAGTATAAATGGGCGGAGTGCCCACCATTTCCCCAATCTACTGAAGACCGCTGTTCTCTGTGCCTCGAGCCTTTTGCTTGTCTCTCATAGCTATATTCTGATACAGTTTTTACTGTTTTCTCTTGACTTTACAGCTTTTCTATTCCTTGATCCAAGTTATAACCCATCCAAACCCCTGCCCCATTTACATCATTTTTTTCCTCCCTTACCCCTTCCCCCCAATAAAAAATCACCTTTCATTGTTCTTCTTGTTGTTAATTCTTCTTTTGTTCACTGTTTTTCCTCTCTCTTTCTTCAATGGCACAGCAGGCAGCTTTCCACAAGTGTTTGCAGTGCAGGGCTAAAATGTCCCCCACTGACCCACACGACTTGTGCCTTCTATGTTTGGGAGAAGGTCACAGGATGCTAAGTGCAGCCATTGCCAGTCCTTTACCAGACAGGCCCACAAGAACCGGGAAAACTGTCTATGGAAGATGCTCTGGGACCAGGCTTTGGTTGCCATGAAAAAGGTCTTGATGGAGACCACCATGGCAGGTCCATCTAAGGCTGCTCCTCCTCATCCATCTGAGGGAGGTGCGACATCTAAGGAGGGAAAGTGCTTCTCTCACTCTCCCCACTGCAAGCAGAAGGAGAAGAGGAAGCATGTCAGGTCTGATGAGTCCTCTTCATCCAAAAGACTTAAGAAGGATAAGTCCGACAAGGCAGAGCACTGGCACAAAAAGCATCCCAAGGTGCCCTGCTTGGAATCGATGTCCACTCCACCTTTGGTCCTGATAGGTGTCTCGATCCTGGCCCTGACTGAACCCACCATTCAGTTGGTCATGCAAGTGACTTCACTGGGGTCTCCACCTCGGATCATCATTTTGGCTCCATCTAGTTCTAATTGTTCTGACCCTGTGGCTAGAGGGTCTTTGTCGGATGGTGAAATCAGAGAAACTCTGCCTCGGTCGTGCACTCACCTGCAACCTGTCCATTCCCTGACACCGATGCCAGCATCTCCGGAGGAATCTCCAAGAGCTCCTCAATGCCCAGCCTCCCTTCTGCAGCAACAGGTCCCAGTTCAGCCTTCCAAATACTGGGTCCCTTTGCCATATGGGGAGTTCAATCCATCTCAGTCCTATCCATGGGACTATTATCCTCCCTATGGCTATTACCTGAGGCCTCCAATCCATCCTCATCATTCCACTCCTCATTCGGTGTTAAGGGATGCTCCATCAATTTCTACAGCTGCTCTTGATCTCCGCCTTCACCTGTTGGGTCTTCCTTGAGTCCTCCAAAACACTTGGATTCCAATTCAGATGACTCTCAACAGGCGTTGATGTTGCCAGATGCTGTGAACTCAACCCAGAGTCCAGGCTCCCTTGGAGACTCTCACAGCAACTTCGCGAAGCTGCTCTCTAGGATGACAAAGTCATTGGAGAGCAATGTCCAACACTTCATTGACTCAAATCAAGATAACATCTACGACATCATCAGAAAAAAGGACTCATCCTCCATCACTCTGCCCTTCATTACAACTCTGAGGCAAGCAATGATGAATACATGGCAGCTCCCCAATCAGCCGCACCAGACGTCCAGGCAACTTGAGTTGATGTACAAGATTCGGGAACAAGACATCCCGTTCCTTCTTAAACATCCCAAGCCAAACTCAATTGTCATCAAGTCCTCCCAGGGTTGACAGAACAAAGAGCACTCGACTCCGACAGACAAGGAAGGCAGAAAGATCAACATGATGTCTCTTCGTATCTACGCTTCTATGGGACTCGGTCTTCGTATCTCCAATTACGAAGCCACCATGGTGAGGTACCAATACTTCCTCATGCAGAAGCTTAAGTCCCTCACCTCTAATCTGCCAGACCAACATATGGAACTTGTCTGCATGTTCACCTGCAAGGCTATGCAGCTTTCTATACAGCAACTTAATATGGCAAGACATCATGTCGATTGTGACTCTAGGGCTCTCGTTGGTGCCATTGCCCTTTGTCACCATGCCTGGTTACAGTTGGGTAGCTTACCAGAAGAGACTAAGAGACGGGTGGAGAACATGCCCTTCAATGGCTCCGGGCTATTCCATGCCAAGACTGACGACAAGCTCAAAAATATTCATAAGGTTCGCCTTATGGCTCGTCATACGGAGACGCCATCACAGCACCAACGTAAGTGGCCATGGCCTCATTCTCAGTACCGCTACCAACCTTACCAACCATATGCAGGACGCCAACAGTTCCAACAGTGTCAACAAAGGAATTGAAGGCAGAACGCACCACGGTACCAACAAGCTTGTTGCCATCCTAACACTGACAAATGCCAGAGTTGATGGGACACACAAACCTCTCCTTGATCCTCCAACCTACCTTCCCCTCTTCCTTTTGAGGATCGGTTGCAAAGCCGACTCCCCATCTGGGAGTCCATCACATCTGATAGATGGGTACTTACCATCATAGAGCACGAATACAAAATTGATTTTGACACCGTGCTGCCCCCTGGACCAATCGGATATATGGCTGCCTTTCCGGTCCTTCTAGTTGAAGTTTCCCAGCTGCTTCATAAAGGAGCGATTCAAAAATGCACCGCTCCAAAGGCCTGCATGGTTTATATTCCATGGTTTCGCTCCACAATATCCTTCCGTTGCTTAGGAAACAGGATTGGTTCGCATCCTTAGACTTGAAAGATGCTTATTTCCACATAAACATAGATCCCACTCACAGGCATCTCCTCCAGTTCACAATGTACTCCCCTTCGGTCTTCCCACTGCTCTGAGAGTTTTCACCAAGCGTATGGCTTCCGTATACACCCATCTTTGGCTTCAGGGTATTCTTCCCAGCAACAGGCACTGTGCAGGCACAGCACCCATAATATATGATGCACAGATGGCCGCTCAAAGTACGACAGTTACAGGTAAGCAACCTGCCTTTCTGTATTCACACACCTGTAAGCCCTATTTGCTTCAGCATAGTTTACTTCTGAGAAGACATGGATAGCATAGTAATTTGGGTTTTTATATTTTGTGACAGTCTGCCAAGTCTATGATAGATCAAAAGGTAAGGAATTTGATGTAAGCTTTTGCTGTTTGGGGACTGGATCTTGAGCACCTTATCTGGAGCCTCCAGAGTAGTCAGGGTTTTTATTTTATTATTCTGAAGTCATTAAGGCATTCTTACTCTGCTGTTCATATAGGCTCCCAGAGTAGCTTGATATATAAGACAAATGAAAACAGTAGCAAGCAGCAGAGCCATAACATTAGAGCAAATAATCAGTAATAAAATCAAGATCAAAAAAATGACTCCAGAAAATACAAGGTATTCATTCACTAGTGCCAAAAGGAAAATTGGCTCAGTCCTTGGAAGTCTCCAGGAGATAGTTTCAGAACTGGGACACCCTAACTAAAAAGGCCTATTTCTGGTTACCAACCAGCTCACTGCCAGTGATGAGGAAATATGAAGAAAGACCTCTGAGAAATATCAGAATACTTCAGTAGATTTACTGGGGAAAATGCAGTCCCTTAAGGAAAGAATTCCATAGAACAGCTAGAAGAGATAAGAATGCCTTCTTAAATGAACAGTGCAAAGAAATAGAAGAAAACAATAGAATAGGGAGGACCAGAGATCTCTTCAAGAACACTGGAGATATGAAGGGAACATTTCATGCAAAGATGTGCATGATAAAGGACCAAAATGGCAGGACCTAACAGGCAGAAGAGATTAAGAAGAGGTGGCAAGATTACACAGAAGAACTATACAAGAAAGAGCTTAACATCCCCGATAACCACAATGGGGTGATCACTGACCTCAAGCCAGACATCCTGGAATGTGAAGTCAAATGGGCCTTAGGAAGTCTGAGCAACAACAAAGCTAGTGGAGGTGACAGCATTCCAGCTGAGCTATTCAAAATCCTAAAAGACGATGCAATAAAAGTGCCACACTCAATATGCCAGCAAATTTGGAAAACTCAACAGTGGCCGCAGGATTGGAAAAGGTCAGTTTACATTCTGATTCCAAAGAAGGGCAATGCCAAAGAATGTTCAAACTACTGCATCATTGTGCTCATTTCACATGCTAGCAAAGTTATGCTCAAAATCCTACAAGTTAGGCTCCAGCAGTATGTGGACCGAAAACTACCAGAAGTACAGGCAGGATTTCGAAGAGGGAAAGGAACTAGAGATCAAATTGCCAACATACGCTGGATCATGGAGAAAGCTAGGGAGTTCCAGAAAAACATCTACTTCTGCTTCAGTGACTATGCTAAAGCTTTTGATTGTGTGGAGCACAACAAATTGTGGCAAGTTCTTAAAGAGATGGGAGTACCAGACCATCTTATTTGTCTCTTGAGAATCCTATATGCGGGCCAAGAAGCAACAGTGAGAACTGGACACGGACCCGCTGATTGGTTCAAAATTGAGAAAGAAGGCAAGGCTGTATACTGTCACCCTGCCTATTTAACTTATATGCAAAGCACATCATGAGAAAGGCGGGGCTAGATGAATCACCAGTTGGAATTAAGATTGCTGGGAGAAATATCAACTACCTCAGATATGCAGATGATACCACTCTAATGGCAGAAAGTGAAGAGGAACTAAAGAGCCTCTTGATGCGGGTGAAGGAGGAGAGCGCAAAAGTTGGATTGAAACTCAACATTAAGAAAACTAAGATCATGGCATCCGATCCTCTAACTTCCTGGCAAATAGATGGGGAAGAAATGGAGGTAGTGACAGATTTTATTTTCCTGGGCTCCAAGATCGCTGCAGACGGGGACTGCAGCCAAGAATTTAAAAGGCGCTTGCTCCTGGGGAGGAAAGCTATGGCAAATCTAGACAGCATACTAAAAAGCAGAGACATTACCCTGCCAACAAAAGTGCGTATAGTCAAGGCTATGGTTTTCCCAGTTGCAATGTATGGTTGTGAAAGCTGGATCATAAGGAAGGCTGAGCGCCAAAGGATTGAGGCCTTTGAATTGTGGTGCTGGAGGAGACTCCTGCGAGTCTCTTGGACCACAAGGCGATCAAACCGGTCGGTCTTAGAGGAGATCAGCCCTGACTGCTCTGTAGAAGGCCAGATACTGAAGATGAAACTCAAATACTTTGGCCACCTAATGAGAAGGAAGGAGTCCCTGGAGAAGAGTCTAATGCTGGGAACAATAGATGGCAAAAGAAGAAGGGGATGGCAGAGAATGAGGTGGCTAGATGGAGTCACTGAAGCAGTTGGTGTGAGCTTAAGTGGACTCTGGGAGATG